CCATGTACCAGAACAGGGGATGTCTGTTTGGGTCCTGCAGTCAACCTGCAAGTATAGAACCAATAAGGCTCCATTTACATATAGCGTTTGCGTTTCCCACACAGTTTTCCACGCAGAAGACCTTGTGGGATGAAAACGGTAAAATTTTTAATAGCCGCGAAAGTGCGGAATCCACCGTATTATCCCACCTGTACTGTTTTGGGGGCCGCACGGTTTCGTACCCTGCAGTCCCCACAATAGTCTGAACAATGCACATAAAAATGCATTGTTTTCTCTGTTTAGAGCGGCTCCGCGCATGTCCGTACACCCGAATACGCACACACAGCCGCTCCAGTGTGAATGGAGCCTAAGCCCTGTGTCAGGAAAAAGTTACCAAGGGTATTTTGAGGCCAGGAGGATCCTTTTTCATATAGTGCTGTAGAGCGGTGTCAGCTGGAAGCTCCCCTCACATCTAGTACACAGTGTGAGCCCACATTTTTTAGTGTCAGTTGCCTGGCTTTAACACTGAGTCTGTGGATTAAATGCTCTTTGAGTTGCTGACCCAGAATAAATATGCAGATCACAAGTTTAAATGTACACTACATGCTTGTTCCAAGTCAGTGTCCCAGAAAGCCATCAAGACAAAGGATCAGTTTGACAGCCAAACAACTATCATTTTCAGAAGGGGATCAATAATGGCCACCTACATATTCCTCTAAGTGCATGTTTCCATCAAGCGTTGATTTGTTGTGCTTTTACTTTTTATTGTGCTCTGTAACAGTTACCTTCTCTTGCTCACAAACGGTTCATTTTTTACAGTAGTGCAACATTTTTACAGCCACATAAAAACCCAACAATAGTCTTGGCTGCCTGTCAGATTCTGTAGTAGTGAACAGAGAATGGAGTAAGATAATTCAGACTATTGTCTTCTCCAACTAGTACATGTCAGCAAAAATCCGCAGCTCCTAGGTAGAAGGGTCAGAAAACGCTTTAATATGACTTTTTTCGGCTGGAAATGTTATGGCAAAAATGTGTTTTTAAGAGCAACTTATATAAAGTTTTTTTTCAATTTGGAAATCTTGACTTTCAAAACTGAGGTAAGAAAACGTTTCAATGCAGCGAACAACCAGTTAAGGAGGAACTTTACCCATATCTTTAAAAATTAAAACAAATACATTACAACGTTTAGTAATGACAATCCGTAAACAGATACTTCTAGATAATTGCCGGCTTTTTATTCTTTGCACACTTTATTTTTCTTCTCCTCCCTATTTCTCTCACAGTAGCCATTTTTATAGCAGAACCTGGCCTTGGGGCAGCAGGGATAGTAAATGCGGCCCTGGTTGGGGAGGGCACCTGAATTTTTTGTTTAGCTGACTAGATTTCCGTTTCGTCGTGGAATACATTGGGGGTTGGGCCACTATTTAATAAGCGTCCTTGTATTTGAGTGCAAGATCCAGTAAAAAATTTTGCTACAGAGGGAATTTTGAGATGTGTTTTTACAGGTGCAGCAATAGTCTGCAATGGAATACAAAAATGCTCTGGATCTTTTGGAGGTCTGGGTGGCGGGATTCTGCGAATCCGGGCTCTGAGGATAGTGCGATAGAAGGGGACGTTCCGGTGGTGAGGTAAGGTAAGGAGACGTGTGGGGAGATGAATGCTCCGGTTTAGTTAGGTGATTGCCCGGGCGAGCTGCGGAGCTGCCTCAGAAGACGTCTTCCATCGACAGTCGCGCGCATGCGCCCCCCCAAAAATGCGTTTTATTGATGTATTATTGTTTTCCATATTGATCTGCATTTTTCAATCTTTTTGCACACTGTTACTGAGATATGTCTTTTATCAGCCAAAGTCAAAAGAAAATATTTAAATCTAGCAAATTTTACATATCATTTTATATGAATGGTTCTGTATTTAATAAAGTGCAAAAATGTCACATAGCATCACCAGGCGACGAGGAAGCATGGGGCCGGCTTTCATCGAGCAGCTGGCCAATCAGGAAGCCGGGCAACGCGGCATTACATGGCACTCAATCCAAGATCCGTCCGCACATATATGTTTCCATCATTCTCATTACTACAATACTGCATTTAGCAGGGTGCCCCTATGTATTTTGTTTTTGCCTGCCTTAAAGTCAGTGATAAGATAGAAGATATTGGTCGTGGGAATACATGATCTAAATCAGCCGTGTAGCTTATGCTCATCAAATCACATATTTAGCTCATAGCAGATGTCTTTTTTCTCTCCATTTATTTCAGTGTTGGCTATTTCAGGCCCGGTACTCGGTTACTTGAGTGAAACCAAGTGGCTCTAATCATCAGCAATGGAACTAAGGCCTTAGTGATTGATGTACCTTGATATACCATATATGGTGTGATGCTCAAAGCAGCCCTAACCCACCCACCCCCATCTCTCTTCCCCTTCGTCCTACTTGATTCTAGAAAGCAAGCATCACTGATCACAATGCTTATCTTTGATCTGAGAACATTAAAGTCTGTGTAGACTCAGATACGCTGGGGGGGGGGGGGGGGGGGGGTTTTTGGGACAACACCAA